ATTGTCTCCAAATTCTGGTTTTCCTGACCAGCTGTTAACATATGGACATTAATGAACACTGAACAAGTTAAACCCTCTATAAGTCTGATGCAGGACTGACTTTATGCTACTGGCTTTTTAAAATCTGCTTTTTCTAGCTGTGAGAAATTGAGAATTGACACAAAAATTAAAAAAATAATCACAGGAAAAATACCTTTTTGGCAAAAAAATAATAATTTAGAACTGACAACATTTTTTCATGTTATTCTACTGTTCATTATTAAGGAAGAATATGACCGTTCTTAATTTCTTTTATATAATTCAGTTGAAAGGGAATTTGCATTTTTTTTTTATTTTTTTTTAAAATACAGTATGCTAAAAGATGTTCACATCAAAGGTGTCAGGCCTTACAATTGTAAATGTGTTAATCATTTTCTCCTGGGATTCTTCCAACCAAATCCACTGCCAAGTTATACAGGAGTTGCTTAATTAGTGCATCGTGGTTAAATATCCCCTTTAGTTTCTGCCCCTCAGCACCCCCACCCATCCAACAACCAGACATATGTTGAACACAATTATATTATGATTTAAGTGAACATATCATATTTCTCATATGTAAAAAATAATTATAGGTTAATACTTTCCGAATTGATCCCAACCCTTCGTATGTTAACATAACGGGGGGAAACACCAACTCTAGCTGTGATATGCACTATACAGATCAATTCTGCTTCTTATTTTCTGTCTGATCTGATTAGGTGGACATCTTGATATTACATTTGGTCTTACATGTCATCTTGATAAAGCTTAAAAGTACAACCCTACATGTGCTGGCCTGCCTAGTGGTATATATCATATAATATAAGTTAGTGCAAGAGATGTCACACACGTTACAGTGCAGACTCCGAATCCGAACAGATGCTAAATTACATAGCAACAGCCAACTTGACACTCTTCGTACAGCATCTTCACCGGTAGCTTCACAACCAACTCGCTTATTTCTAGTTCCATTGTGTGGTTAAGGCTTCAAATATTTCAAAACATATTATATTAAAATCATTGAAATTCGTATGAAATGTAAGCTGTCACAAGAACCACAGTCTTTAACGGTGTGTGCGTCATAGTGGTCTGGGCACTGTAGGATGGGACAAGAAAAAAAGTGGGCAAAGATCCATACTAGGGCTTACTTAGAGGGTAAATTTCTTAAATCCTGATAGGGTTTGATTTTAGTGTAAACCACTTTTGTTCGTCAAGATCAATTTATAAACACACAAGGGGGAGCATACATTGACTTATGCTCAATACACCAGGGGTTACGTTCACTTATGCTCTCTGCGTCCCTGAAATATGTCATGACGAAAACAAAGGCATGCTGTTAGCAATTTGATTGGTTTCAGGTTGAAAAATCCTTACCAATTGCTAGGCTGATACCTGTCTTTTGAAGATTACTGAGATGCGACACCAGCTGACATCAAAGCCCGTTAATTTTACCATTATTTTATGGCAATTTTTTTGTTTATGTAGATCAAAGGATACAACTTAAGTCTTAACTTGCATCATTTACACTGTGGCACATGCAAAATGTACAGAGACTTCGGTTACGTCATGGCATTTTCCAGGGATGCAGAGAGCATAAGTGAGCGTACCCCCTGGAGTATCAAGGAAAGCATTGACTGTGCGGGTACAAAAATGGACTACCTATTTTGTTGGTTACTTATACGTAATCCCATTATTTGTGTGAATTGTACAGTATTGTGCAGATTTGTTTGATTTAATTTAACATAATAATAATAAAAATAATTTGAGGTTCTTATTTACCACTTATCACAACCTAGTTAGTAGGTCGTCTCAAAGCGGTTCACAAATTATTATCCGTGGTCATAGGGCCTTTGCAACCTGAGCTAATACTCTGTGGAATTTTTCCACAGAAATCTGCGGAAATCTGTGGATTCCGTGGAAAATCTACAGCCGGGCTGAGCCAATAGCTTTCTCAACTCCCTGGAGAGCATACAGCCAGTGCTGTGCCATTTCGGCGCTCACAGCTATCATTCAACAATTCAAGCACTGCCCAACCACGTACTCATTTACAGCTAAGTAGACTGGAACAAGCAGAGCAAAGTATCTTGTTCAAAGATACAACACAGTGCCGTGCCGTGACTCGAACCCGCAACCCTTTGGTCACGTATGAACAGAGGAAAATTTACACTACCGTGCCTGATCTATATTGAGTTTGTACAGTATGGTTACATTGTTTCTGATATGTACAACAGTGTTGTTGGCTTGCTTGATTAAACTTGACATAATTTGTTTGATTTGTACTGTCAATCAAACTGGCACAAGATATTTGTTCGAAGCCTCATGTAAGCCTGCCCAGCGAGTGATGAAAATAGTAAAAGGATCGAATTGGTCAGTATGTTTCCAACATAAGAATTATGAAGAGTATAGGGTTTATGAACAGAGGAAAATTTACTTACACACTTGTATCGGTCAGTATGTTTCCAACATAAGAATTATGAAGTGTATATAGGGTTTATGAACAGAGGAAAATTTACTTACACACTTGAGAAAAATTTCATGAATTTCCATAAACACGACAAATGAAACATGTTAACAAAAGTACTCCGCACCTGACAACCAACATCTAAACCTCAAGTGACGCAGGTTTGAGCTTTACAACACAGGAACACTATTGGTACATATGAATAAAACTTCAATGACCAGTGCAACAAAAACACGACGAGTTTAATGAACCACTTGGTCACACGTTTATCAACACCAGCCTTCGTTTCATATACACTGCCTTGAATCCTCAATCCTCAAGTCGACATATACTCCAGCTTAAACTGCTGAAATCTCTCTCTAGATAAAGTAGCCCAGTTAATAGTTCATTTGAAATTTAAACCTTATTAGTGTGCTCATGCATGTGCAGTTGGTTGAGTCAAATGAAATGGCTGTGGGAAAATTTTCATGAATTACTTTTGAGATTCCTTAAATGACGTTATAATATGATATGTCATATAGATACATGTGATTTATGTATGGAATAACAAAGTTTGCAATCAAAGTATGATTTTGGTTTGTATTGGTAGTGATTTGGAATAAACTACAGCCACTCATGTGTTGTATATACTAAAGTAAATATTGCCCGGTTTGTACTGTCATTAATCCAGGACTAAAATCCAGGTTCAATTCTTGGAACTAAAGGAAACAACCCATTTCCGTGAAAACATGAACAGAATGACAACACTTGAGAGTGAGAATGGCAACATCACATCTACCGAAAGGAACGGTAGCACAGGTTGACAGGTTAAAATCGATAATTCGAAATACAGTTGAATCTCTGTTAAATTGAATCACATTTTTTCTCAGCCAAACTTAATCAGCTCAACAGCCACAAAATCATCCTTATTCCAACTCCAGCTTTTTAAATGAACGTTTTTCCTTTATTTAATTCACTTTCAAATATATATGAAAGTCCGCATTTCAATTTCCTCATTTCAACAACAGTTGTATTTCTCTAGGCTTCAATGAACCTTTGTAAATGAAATTTTATTTCAATGGAGATGCCTGGTGTGAGATAAAGAGTCCAATTTATGCATAACTGCAGGTATAAGTAAAAATAGCTTATGTATATATATACATATATATATTGTAGAATATGATACAATAATTTGTGTAGTATATTTAATTTCAGAAGAAGTGCTACAGGGTTTTGTAATGTGCAACATGAAATAGCTAAGTATGACAAGATATATCTTCATAATATATTGTGAGTTGTCTCCCCATTAATGCATTTTTTTCCATAATGTAAATGCATATCTAGCCCTATATGTATATTTTGTTGTGTAGTAGAAGTTAATAAAGAAAAGATATGTCTAGACTTTTATAAGAAAATTATCAGATATTCTTTAATTGAATTGTTGACATTGAAGGTAAAATATTTGTAAATGCCAATTTTCTTAAATGTACACGACGTACACCATGTGATCTGACGGAATCTCTGTCAAAGCAGTCACAGAGTTGAGCTGAGAAAGGCTCGCAGGAGTGACAGGGTACTGTCTAACTATCACCTACTGTATGGACACCTACAGGTATGTTTGAGGTAATAATAAAAACATGACCATGCAGTGACCTAAAAGAGACATCGTAATGAATCTTTCAGAGATATCATGACCAGTAGGGGTGTATGTACATTTGTATGTATGTAGCAAAAATATTCAATTGAATATCTATAACAAAAATATTACAACAAAAAGTGTACTTTTGTGGGGGTGTTTTTTTTTCAAAACATATTTTGCATGCATTTCAGAATGAATTTTCATTAAAGTTACCTACAGGACACCTGCATGTATGGTTGAGGGGTGACAAAAACATGAGCAGGGACCTATCAAAATCAATCTATCTGTGACCAGTAGGGGTCACTACTGGTCACAGTGCAGCTGTGATCATTTTAATGTGACACATAGTATCACATTTAAGTTAACGGAAACATTAACATAATTATTTTGCATAAAAAGGGGGAGAATAGCTTATAAAACTAAAAGTGCAACAGCAAAAAATTGTTATTGGAAGAGATAGGACAGTCAAACAGAGTTGTAGTTTTAAGCTACAGAAGGAGCCAATTTGGGCGTCGTATAAAACATCTCTTAGCAGTGATATTTGTCTTCTCAATTGAGAATGAAACCACAAATAACAATCCTTAACCTGGTTAAAGGAAATATAAATAATAAGCACTGTAGCAGTTAAAATGTTGCTTGATGTATAGAATTTTAACAGAGTGCTATATTGCATGCTTTTAGCAGCATGCACAAATTTAAACGGCCAAGTAAAACTCAAGGAGGTTGTTACAAAATGAAACGAAAAATGTTAAGTCATTTCGTGACGTGAAAGGCTGAAAATGCAGGCTTGACTGACAACATCAGGTGATCGAGATAAACATGATGACACTAGATGAGGATATAAGTATGAACACATGACAGCTACAATAATACGATAATAAGCTAAGTAATAAAACCACATACTGAATCCCAGGTTGCAAAGTACATTCCCTGTAGTAGCGGAGGGAGAAAACATATACTCATAAACTACACTCCACAAAACTAGCACAAATACAGACCAATGTTAAAAATAAAACTTCATTCACAGGATCATACGCACAGAAATGTAAATTAATTTTCACATATAGCAACATGATAAAATTAGACATTTTTTTTAAAGACTTGCAGAATAGAATCATTCCTTACAAAAATTTGAGCATCAATTACGATTATGATTTGAAAAATTAGCATACATGTAAGTACACAAAATGCATATAGTCTCAGAAAAATGCAGAAAAAATAAGTTCATACAGAAACTGGAGAAAAATAGGTTATTCTCACATGCACCATTGCATATTCTACCGAGAAACAATGCTATCATGTACAAGGGAAGACAACTCTAACAAAAACTTCCAACAAATTTCAAACTTGGTTGAATCTGTGCAAAGTTTCACAAACTTAACTCATAATTCAACTGAAGTAGTTAGGAATTGATTGTGACTCTGTGTTGTTTAAAGCCAGTTTGTTTGATATGGCTGGTAGCTAGCATAAATGACTAGCCAAAAAGGTACATGTAATGAATTTATATACTAAATATTTTTAGATATTTGAAATGGAGAATTGGTTTATGACAGTGTGCACATGAGTATCCAAAATTACACCATTACATGTTTAAATGACATTTGCTGTCCCGAACTTTGTCTTTAAAAAGATAGCCAGTCTCCAAAAATATGAAAACACCATTTATCTCAATATTTGCTATCCAAAAGACATTCTAGTCTTATTTTCCATTCAAAAGAACATCTTTCGCTTTCTCACAAGCTTCTAGAAAAGATGGAAATAATTAGACTTACATTTGTTTACCCTAAACTGTTAACAAAACAAAATAAAACATACATCCCAGCCAAAAAACTGAATCCTAAACCATCTCGGCCAATCAAAACGCTACCTGTTAAGGTTGACATACAAGTTCTACTTACCCTATTGGAGTAGGCAAGCTCCATGGCTTCAGACGACAGCTTACACAGGGCGTCAATAAGGTGGTGAAGGGCCACATCGTCAAGGTACCTGAGACGGGTAGAGTAACGCCATATACATCAGCTCAGAGATACAGAAAGTATACCAAATATTACACACATGTTTGTCATAACTGGCAGAAAACATTTGCAGTCGATGATATTTAATTGGAAATGAAATAAGTTGAGGTAAAATATGCCATCTTTTCACTTGTATATTGTAAATAATTTACAATCAATGTTGACTAATAGATGAACATTGGGTGGTCAGATGGCGCAGTGGATAGCCCACTTGCCTTTCACCAAGGTGGCATGGGTTTGATTCCCCAATTGGAAAAAGTATGGGGTCACCTGCCCGACCATGTGGGTTTCTCCGGGTAAACCGGCTTCCTCCCACATTAAAACTCCCGCACTAACATTTAGGCCAACAAAAGTGATCAATATAAGTTTTTCATATTTTTTGTAAAATAAATAAAGTTAATATTATATAGATGAATATGGATATTGACTGTCTATAACTGTAGAGCATTTTATTTTAATAGGTGGACAAAATGGCACTTTTTGTCATACTTCCTTGTTCTTATCAATTTTATGTATACATGTACTTTAAAAGCAAGCCAAGACTGATAATTGAAAATTACCGGATATAGTACTAATGTTACTAAGAGTAGAGTAATACTACTACATGCATATTATACAATCAAACAAAACCGTTTGTAATATACAATGCTTTTCCTTTTTTGCCGTAATTAGCGCCCATCTTCTATAAGTGCCCCTTTCCCTTTTTCAAGAGGACTTGAAGACCTTCTCACCCTCCTAGAACTGACCAGACCTGGTCAAAGATTCACAGTACTCGACTTTAATGCAGTGATTTATGTCTGGTGATCACGGCTGAACTTCTCGTGAAGCAGATGAAACAATATATTTCCAAACTTTCAGCCACATGGAATGTTTCTGATAACATTTAATGACAACAACCATTAAAGTTACACAACTCTTTCTATCATAACTCACACTTGTTATCCTAATAAGCCCCCCCACCCTTTTATTATTCACCATTGACACTATTTAGGGCGAATACGGCATTCTTCGTGTCCATGAAGTTGAACGCCTATTTGGCATATAGACTGTTAAACGTTATAAAGATCATCTTAGTCTAACAAACAGTATATCTATCTATGTATGTATAGTGACTATAAAGAAGTGGTCAGCAACATAAATTTTATAGATTTAAAAAATATCATATAGTTCAGGGAAACAGATTTTATAGGTCCAGGACTTACTGCGAACTCTCAAACAACCGTGACAACATGGCCGACAGTACGGGTAGGTCGGCCATGACAGCGGTCGTTATGACTGCGTTAGAGCCCTCGGAGATCTGCTGACTGAACCGGAGGCTCCCTCCAGAGGATGGCTTCAGGCCGAGGATCCACACCAGGTGCTGCAGAAATACAAATCACAAATAATAAGTCCAACTGGACATTGAAAAATGAGCAATGCTTTTTCATTACAGTCAAATATTTATAATACAAATTCTAATCATCTCAATCCAATGTGACCTAACACAATATCTGTTTGGAAATTTATAAGGACAGGAATAACACCTCAAATACATAGACAAATGTTATTAATGTTATGACAAAAGATTGTATTTAGTAATAACATGGGTGTGAAATCCCCCCTCCCCCCCTCTCCCGCATCAAACTCAATGTCCTACTTAACATAAAGTATGTTTTAATCATGCATTTCAAAATGACACAGGTTATTTTTTTATGATCACAATGAAGTCAACATTAAATAGATGTTCTGTTTTTGTAACTAACTTAACATGGGTCTACTGTCTAGGTAAATATATCTTGGCCAGAACATTACTCTCAATTAATATACCTGTAGATTTACATGTCTTTTTAACTAAATATTACAACTTACCCGTACTGTGATTAACTCATTCACCCCTGAAGACGCATTTGAACTCTTCCAATTCAAAGGTTAGAATAGTTCATTATGATTTCAGGGGTGAATGAGTTAGGATGAGGTGCTACTCTATTCACCAGGCCCCAATATTACAAAACCTCTCAACTCTAATAACATTTGAAACATAAATATTCTGACATTTTCCATTCCTGACACATATAATGTTCTAGAGTTAGATTTCTGAAATGCATACACGAGATCTGCTTCATGTAAAGAGTTATATCTTAACGAAAATTCAAAAATATTTCATTATTTGAATTACTGGTTTACTAAATATTACACTTCAAATAAATGTGATTTTTAGAGCTGAGAATGTTCTCTTTTGTCATAAGACCTGCGATTTCAGGACAATCTGTAATGTAGATAATTACCAAGATCTTATATTTACCTGTAACGTTGTTAACACGAGGTGCCACGCCGTCCCGAGGATGCCCCCATGACAATGGGCCACTGCCAGTAAAGCTCGCATACACTGGATGTTTTTAGCCGTTAACTGGTGAAACAGGATTACAATATCAAATAATTCATAATAATTTCCGTAAATATATAATTGCATCTTAAAATCTAGATTTAGCACAGGGGAACATACCTTAAAACATATACCATGATATAAAGTGGGCTCAACCCGTTATTGTGATGTACCAATGGTCATGGCTAGCATTTCAAGGACAGTTTGAAGTAGTCTAACAAGCATGCTAGAATTTTCCATTGATTCTTCAAACTCTGTTCTAGGTTTTTTTCCAATAAGCACTCATCAAACATGCCTACAAAATCATATTGTTTTCAAATACCATTTATGAGACTACTGGTGCATCAGAACAATTTGTTTGGACCATACCTTAAAAGTATCCAGTTACTTAACAGATGTTGTAGATATGCATCAGATTTTGTGTATTGCATTTCTTAAGACAAGTGTAATAACTAATTTTTGTATTATCGACACATTAAAACTTCAGTCCATGACAAATGGAGGTGACTGAATCAAGTTCAATCAAGACTCCGATCAGCTGATAATGATTAATCTAAGTTTGAGGTAGGACTTCGTCCCTTAATTATCTTCAAATTTGATTTTTCAACTTTCAAATATTAAATAAATGAAACAGAATGTGAAGAAAAATCTCATCAAAAAAACTCTTTCTGACAGACAATCTAGTACCTACCATGACTGGCCCTGTGTGTGCCCCAGCAGGGAGGGAGGCGGTGGGGAGGGGTGTTCCCACGGCAACCACTTGACTCCTCTCTACAGCCTCTAGCCCCATGGTGGGGAGATCCTGGCTAATGGACCTGTAGTGTCCTGAACAAGTACAAGGTACATCCATTATTCATACATCGACCTTGTATTTTAGGCAATTATAAATATTTGTTTGAGATTGATCATTATCATGAAGGTTAAACACATTGGGGAGGAGATTGAGCAAGGAAGGAAACATTACTTTTTACTTCCCTTGTGCAAGGGCAATTCTTTTTTTTCATGATATTGGTACCAAAATGGAAGAAACATGCAACAATTCAAAGAATACCAACTGTTTTTTTTTTTTTATATATTTGTATCAATATAGAGAGTGACCACATGACCAAAAAGAGGTAAATACCATTCTGAGCACCCTGTAAAGTTTATAGATGACATAGGGGTAGTTACCCTACATAGTGGCCTGTATACGTGATAGTGACTAGGTTAAAGGGTAAATTACCTCGCTGAGCGGCCTGGGCATTTGATTGGCTGTTGAGGATGGTCAGAGTATAGTGCGGTGGTAAGGACGCTTTACACAGAGCCGTGATGAAGGCATCCCTCGGTATATTCATCTGCAGGACCCCACACAAATTCGCAAACGTCTGTAATGATTTTAGTATCGCCTGGGTAGCACTCTCGTCCGTACTGTAAAAAAGAGATACATGTATAGGTTTAGTTGTATATATTTATTGTCACGGTGATACCATGACATTCGGGCCAGTCAGGTATTTACTCCCAATGAGCGGGAGACTCATACAAAATACAGTCAACTTGACCTCTTTTACCAAACCCCTTAGCCCAAGGGGATCATTCTGTTTATTTGTGTCCATTTCTCCATGGACAAAGCATTTTATCATAATATCAAAATTTGATGAAATTTCAGTTTTTTGGAAGGCGATATGTTATTTCATGCAAACTAGACTATTTAAACCCTTTTAGCCCACCCTTTATCTCCCAGAAAGGTTAGCGCCTTTATTTGTATAAAATTTGGTTCCTGTAACGAAAATTTGGTTGAAATATGCTTAGCAGTTTAGGAGTATATGTCACAGAAATCGAAAATTTGGGACAGCAGGTGACAGAAACTCCAAAGATTTTATTTTCACATAAACACACAATAAGCTGTCTCACTATCGGACTACTGTCTAGTAGTTTCTGACCACTGTCTATATAGTTATATGACCACTGTCCAGTTATCTGACCACTAGCTGTCACAGTTATCACAGATCTAGATGCAGCATATATACCTAGCGTCCAGGAGCAGAGACATTGCAGCCAGCATACCACACCAGGATGAGTTGATCAGCTCTTCATGTAGGCCTCTCTCCTCGTCTACAGTAAAATAAGTACATGTAGTAGATATACAGCCTCATGTACACAGCAAATACTGCGCTATTACAACAAACTAACGCCAGAGAGATTGAGTCGTGTGTAGATATCAAAATCTGCTTATATTTTGTATATGCTTTGAAATTATATATGTTCAGTGTCTCCCTCTTCTTGATTCAATGTCTGTCTGTGGATTCTGTGGTGAAATAAACACTGGAAACCAATACATTTCACCATTACATGCATCACAGTATCTAACATAACAATTACTGATCAAAGGATCACAGAACCTTAAAAAATACAAGTAGACCTCCCAAAGAAAAATATAAGAGGACCTCCCAAAGAAAAAAACAAGAGGACCTCCCAAAGAAAAAAACAAGTGGACCTCCCAAAAAAAAAAACAAGTTGACCTCCCAAAGAAAAATACAAGTGGACCTCCCAAAGAAAAGTACAAGAGGACCTCCCAAAGAAACAGTTGACCTCCCAAAGAAAAATACAAGTGGACCTCCCAAAGGTTATTTCTCTTAGTTTTCATAAAAGCTCCGTTTTGTACATACTTAGGCTGATGAGGTTTGGAATTTGAACAACTGAACCATCATTGTATAATTTACTACCGGGTAACCATAAATTACTTTTCTGCAAACAAAACCTGTGCCTCTTGTTTACGATTCCAGCCCCTGTGTAATGTCAAGTTTACAGCAGTTAACACTGCCAGCACTTTCTTTGACTTAAAATATACATGGAACCTCAATTTTAATAAAGACTCTGCTAGTACTTGGTAGGTCAATGGTGAAAACGTTTGGCTGATTTTGGCAAAATGGCAGAAAAAGTCTTCTATAGGTACAGTTGTGGGACCGCACAACGCACCAAAAATAGCGTGCGCACACCGTGCATACATCGTTCACACACCGTCTACACATCGTCCACACATGGTGCACACAACTGTGCGATTTAGCAATCGTTCACCCCGTTGTGCACTTCTCTCCACACAACTGTGCGATTTGGTATCATTTGTAGATCAAAATTACGGAATGACAAAAATACGGAAGGCTTGAATGCGATAATGTACACTGTGTATATATCTGTAATTTCTCATCACAATAATCAAGATTATACAATTTCACAATGCGTGTTAAACAGTATTACAGCGACCGTTAGGCTGTCAAGAATGGGTTTGGAAGGTTACAGAACAGGTAAATAACAATTTTATGAGTGTCCTGAGTTTTACCTGACTAGTGCCTGACACACAGAGCTGATATGCGATACCGTTTGACCGTAATGAATAGTATTTGTTATTTGCATTCGTTTGCCTATAGCTCCCCTTCACCTGGATTTTCACAACCCCGGCCTTTACGTAAGTGCCCCAGGCGGGGAGAAAAATATGGTCCAGGTACATGTACAAAGTGGTTATGTTTACCTGTATACGGGATTATGTTGTAATTTTACATGTGTCGATTAAGTTTGTTTAAAAACACAGAAAACACAATTTCTAAATATCAGAATGTATAGACAGAAAGATAAGTTTATAGATGTTACTAGAATATAGAAACATACGTAAACATCAAGGTTATATGTTTAAACACAAAACCGTATAATTTGTTAAGGCATTCCTCAATTTACACCAACCACGATTGTTATCACACAACGTCCGTCCATCGTGCGCAGGCAATGATCGTCCAGCTTTTTATCGTTCGCCCATCGTGCACACACCGTTCACACACTGTGCACACATCGTGCGCACACCGCACATCGTGTAACGTTGTGCGATCCCACAACTAAAGCCCTGAGTGAGCACAACTTTTCCTCAAAAATTTCAGCCGATAAGATTGATATGGTTTTTTTCTTCATATCTTTTGTACCTGTAAGTACTTGTTGCTGACTGGTCTTGCGCTCCTCAATCTTCTGGTCCTCTTTTCCGTCATTGTCCCCCTGTAACAGGTACTGGACGCTCTTGACCACCTCGACCAGACAGTGGAAAGCCAGGGACAGTCCGTAACCATCCACAATGTTGGGCGGATCCAACTTGTCCAGCATCTCTAGGCTGTACACAAATTTAAATATTTCAATGGAAACTCTCTTCTTTGAAAATGAAAATTAAACAAGATGTTCATGGGCCTTAACCCTTTCACCCCTATGTAACTTTATTAGACTCTACCACGCATTGATCTGGATGAGTCCATTATGGTCTACAGTGGTGAAAGAGTTAACAGCATACTTGCCAACTCTCCATTTTTTGGAGGGAGAATCCTGATTTTGGACCCTTAAATTGAGCATTTTCAACAAATGAATTTGCGTATAAACTATTCCTATTTTCTAAGATCTGATGATTTCATCTGAAAGAACAGCTCAAAAGATGCCTTTTAAAATCGCTATTTTTCCCAAGGGTGTATATGTAACACATTTTATTTATGCTTTTTATTCTGAGCACGCATAATCTCTTCCATGGAAGTTTCAAAAAGATGGCAAGTATGTAACAGTTATCCGAGTACAATTGTACCAGCAAACTTACACATATAATATACATATAATAAAGAATTAAAAAGCATGGATGTTATACAGGTTGTGTTTCTATTTGCCTGTTTCCAGTTACTTACTACATAGACCTTGCCTGGCCTCCAATATTGACAAGGGGTATCCATGTTCCTCGGTACATAAAGGCTGGCTGAGGGGTCACCCCTCCACCCACGGGGAGACCCCCTAATATAGCCGGTGGAGTCCCCTGGGTGTCAGGGGGTTTTAGTCCTGTAATAAAGAAATAATCATAAATATTCATTTACCAATTTGAATACTGTATACCAGGAATGTTTTTCCAGTTTAACTTTCACCCTCCCCAATTGAGGGCAAAGGACTTGTGGCATTATATGTCATTTTTGTCCTCATAAAATGTAAAAAAAAAACCTTGAATTTATTCACCGTTTTTCATTATAAACATCATATTGGTTAATTGGGGTTTATCTTTCTTGTTGCAGATTTGTTCAAACGAGCATGCGTAGACGCCCTACCATAGAAACAACATCGCGTTGCTATGCAGAAATAGCAAAATTATGGTGTTTTTGGAGACAAATATGAAAGCCTCCACATATGACAAACAAAAATTCCTTTCTACGAATGAACAATTGTTCGACGATGTTTAAGCGCATCAAATATTTTTTTGTTTGGTGCATGCGCAGGCTTTCAAAAATTGAAAAGCGTTTAGTTAATTGACTTCAAAATAGCAAATTTTCAACCAGATTGAGCACAACTGAAGATATTCATGCATTTTATTATGAAAATGCTGGTTTTTGTCTCTCTTTATAATGCCATATCGCCTAAACCAGTTGTCGAATTAATTTGAAACTGCATATTTGTGTACTTCAATTATTCTACGATGACGAATATACCAACTAATTCTAAATCCCAATGAGGCCGGAAATGACCCATAACGCGCCTAGTCCTTTATCATAACAGCAAATATTATTTCACAACAAACAATATATAGGAATTACATGTGAAAGGTGAAATTAAGACCATGCGAACATGAATTTTTATCAGCCAAGGACGAATATTTGACCGGGAGAAAGTTTACTTATATACAGTATGTACATTTTTCCACATCAATAACTAACCATATGTGTATTGTTTTTATTGTCTTTAAAGATCTTATAGCAGAACAAAAAAGTTTTTTTTATCAAATACCAACTAAAGGATAATTAAACAAATTTTTAAACAGTACCTGTTTGGCCAGTCTGACTGGTCATTGGGTTCATAAACTGGGACTGAATGAAAGCTCCCAGGCCGTTGACCATGTCACGGAATATCTTTGTTGAGTGTTGCTTCATGTCGTAACTCTGACAGAAAGACCTGTAATTGGACAAACACAATCTAGTAACAATGGCTGAAGAAATACTTTGTAATTTTAACACAATCTATTACAATGGCTGAAGAAATACTTTGTGATTTTCATGGTTTTGTCATGCATTTTCCCCTCCTGGAACATTTGGCACCCATCGAAATACACCCACTGAAAATGGTACAGGGTCTTTTGTGTTTTCTGGGTCAAAGACCTTATGAAAGGAGGGAAGAATGTATAGCGGAACTAGACTGGTTTGATTGCCTACCACCAGGTAGCTAGATTGGTTTGAGTTTGGAGGGTCCCCGGTTCGAACCCCGGCCTGGCCGTGCAATTTTCTGCTCCTGTTACATGACCTTAATCTGCTCTTGTGAAAAAGGTCAATGAAATGAGGTTAATCATATACTAAATGTGACTGTCATCACTCTATTAATGTTTGTCAAGAATGCACTGTGGCCTTCACCAGCTCTGGTGAGTCATAGATGCCGTCACTACCATGGTGTCCAGTATTTAGAAGTAAAGAGGGGACTGTGCTGAATTTTGGTAAGTGAAAAGGTATGGGAGTCATCTTGACTTTAGCAATATTCAGAGCTCGCTCCTCAAACATACGCTGGATAAGCTTCATCTGTCTCAAATGATTGGAGTTATGTAGATCTGGTAGCTATTTAACCTGACCAGTGGGAACATGTACTTACCTGACTAAGTCTGGTTGCATGCTAAGTTTGTGAAGGACCTCCAGAGACAGACATCTCTGCCACATTGGTTTTTCTGGCTCTAGGAACTTGACAAGAAGGGACAGGAATATCTCACACTCTGTCATCTAAAAAACACAACATCACAAGTCTTTAAATACATGAATTAAACAAAATATTAAAATGATTCATCAACTCAAGCAACCCAATACTAGCTGGTTGAGAGGTTATCAAATCTTTACTGATCCATCAATATTACCGATTAACTGATCAATCAAGTAACCCAATCCTAACTGATCCATCAATTCAAGTAACCCATTCCTAACTGATCCATCAATTCAAGTAACCCATTCCTAACTGATCCATCAATTCAAGTAACCCATTCCTAACTGATCCATCAATTCAAGTAACCCATTCCTAACTGATCCATCAATTCAAGTAACCCATTCCTAACTGATCCATCAATTCAAGTAACCCATTCCTAACTGATCCATCAATTCAAGTAACCCATTCCTAACTGATCCATCAATTCAAGTAACCCATTCCTAACTGATCCATCAATTCAAGTAACCCATTCCTAACTGATCCATCAATTCAAGTAACCCATTCCTAACTGATCCATCAATTCAAGTAATCCATTCCTAACTGATCCATCAATTCAAGTAACCCATTCCTAACTGATCCATCAATTCAAGTAACCCATTCCTAACTGATCCATCAATTCAAGTAACCCATTCCTAACTGATCCATCAATTCAAGTAATCCATTCCTAACTGATCCATCAATTCAAGTAATCCATTCCTAACTGATCCATCAATTCAAGTAATCCATTCCTAACTGATCCATCAATTCAAGTAATCCATTCCTAACTGATCCATCAATTCAAGTAATCCATTCCTAACTGATCCATCAATTCAAGTAATCCATTCCTAACTGATCCATCAATTCAAGTAATCCATTCCTAACTGATCCATCAATTCAAGTAATCCATTCCTAACTGATCAATCAATTCAAGTAATCCATTCCTAACTGATTCATCAATTCAAGTAACCCATTCCCAACTGATCCATCAATTCAAGCAACCCATTCCTAACTGATCCATCAATTCAAGTAATCCATTCCTAAACTGATCCATCAATTCAAGTCATCCATTCCTAACTGATCCATAAATTCAAGTAACCCATTCCCAACTGATCCATTAATTCAAGCAACCCATTCCTAACTAATCCATCAATTCAAGTAACCCATACCCAACTGATCCATCAATTCAAGCAATCCATTCCTAACTGATCTATCAATTCAAGTAATCCGTTCCTAACTGATCCATCAATTAAGGTACTCCATTCCTAACTGATCCATCAATTCAGGTACTCCATTCCTAACTGATCCATCAAGTCAAGTAATCCATTCCTAACTGCTCCATCAATTCAAGTAACCCACTCCTAACTGATCCATCAATTCAGGTACTCCATTCCTAACTGATCCATCAAGTCAAGTAATCCATTCCTAACTGCTCCATCAATTCAAGTAACCCATACCCAACTGATCCATCAATTCAAGCAACCCATTCCTAACTAATCCATCAATTCAAGTAACCCACTCCCAACTGATCCATCAATTCAAGCAATCCATTCCTAACTGATCTATCAATTCAAGTAACCCATTCATAACTGATCCATCAATTCAAGGAACCCATTCCCAACTGATCCATCAATACAAGTAACCCATTCCTAACTGAGCCATCAATTCAAGTAATTCATTCCTAACTGATCCATCAAGTCAAGTAATCCATTCCTAACTGATCTATCAATTTAAGTAACCCATTCCTAACTGAGCCATCAATTCAAGTATTCCATTCCTAACTGATCCATCAAGTCAAGTAATCCATTCCTAACTGACCCATCAATTCAAGTAACCCATTCCTAACTGCTGCATCAATTCAAGTAAGCCACTCCGCACTGATCCATCAATTCAAGTAACGCATTCCTAACTGATCCATCAATCCAAGTAACCCATTCCTAACTGCTGCATCAATTCAAGTAAGCCACTCCGCACTGATCCATCAATTCAAGTAGCCCATTCCTAACTGATCCATCAAGTCAAGTAATCCATTCCTAACTGCTCCATCAATTCAAGTAACCCACTCCTAACTGATCCATCAATTCAGGTACTCCATTCCTAACTGATCCATCAAGTCAAGTAATCCATTCCTAACTGCTCCATCAATTCAAGTAACCCATTCATAACTGATCCATCAATTCAAGGATCCATCAATTCAAGTAATCCAGTCCTAACTGATCCATCAATTCAATTAACCCATTCCCAACTGATCCACCAATTCAAGTAACCCATTCCCAACTGATCCATTAATTCAAGCAACCCATTCCTAACTAATCCATCAATTCAAGTAACCCATTCATAACTGATCCATCAATTCAAGCAATCCATTCCTAACTGATCTATCAATTTAAGTAACCCATTCCTAACTGATCAATCAATCCAAGTAACCCATTCCTAACTGCTGCATCAATTCAAGTAAGCCACTCCGCACTGATCCATCAATTCAAGTACCCCATTCCTAACTGATCTATCAATTTAAGTAACCCATTCCTAACTGATCCAACAATTCAAGTATTCCATTCCTAACTGATCCATCAATTCAAGTAACCCATTCCTAACTGATCCATCAATTCAGGTACTCCATTCCTAACTGATCCATCAATTCAAGTAACCCATTCCCAACTGATCCATCAATTCAAGTAACCCATTCCTAACTGATCCATCAATTCAAGTAACCCATTCCTAACTGATCCATCAATTCAAGTAACCCATTCCTAACTGATCCATCAATTCAAGTAACCCATTCATACTATTAGTAACTGATCAATGCTACATGTATTTACATGTATATACATGTTATAAGACAACTTTTATCTAGCTTAGTCTCATATCCTGTCTTTTGAAACATTTTTTCTTCATCGTTTGGTCCTGTTGTATAGTTCACAATGTCCTCAACAGAAGCTAATCCTAGATTTAGCATATTAAACCACTTAGTAAAAATCGTTTCAAATGACATTCTGTTAAAATATTAGAGACTGACCAGTAATTTGTAGAAGTGTTTGATCAGTGCTGATACTATCCTCAGTAGCCTCATTACAATGGGGAAGTACGGTTTCTCCACGGGAGCTGGAGAAGGAGGGGAAGGTAACCCCTGTCGGTACTTGAGGCTCGGGGAGAAGAGTTTAATGACAAGAGGACAGACTCGCTCCTTCAGTAAGAAACTAAACTCTGGATGCTGAAATCAACAAAAAGAAATATGTAGCCTTTACGACAGAAGTATATTATCTACACCAGGTTATAATGGACATTGCTTTTAAAACGATGTGTATCAGTAGTAGTCTGTACATAATTTGTATTCAAAGGAACACAGACACAACAATAACATTAGCTTTTATAAAGCAAAAGTTATCCCATCCTTAGCACTGTGAAATAGTAGATGTTTTATAAATCATTAGCCTATATAGCATGTATAGACAAAGCATGCAAGACTGAAGTCCTCGCTTCCTTATAAAAGTGATATATAAAAATAATAATATACAACATTTGATATAGCGCCCTATCTAGTTTGAATAAGCCACTCTAAAGTGATCTACAGTACATAGATATACAATTTATACAATCAATACAATTAGCATATACATTGATTAATACAATTTTGAGGTATTTGCAGGAGCTGCGCTAGCTTCTAATCCTATGCCACCTGGCTAATATCTCCCTATGTGTGTATGCCTCGGTTTGTGCTGGAGATGTATTGTGTTCTGTTTGTAGTGGGACCGTGCTTCCAACAGTATCATTTATAGTGCCACCTCACTTGAATGCTACAGCACAGATACCGCAACATACACCCCAGACCAATTTATACTCCACCTAGCTGGGATGGTTGGAATTGTGTGGACAGGACAAAAACACTTTTTCTGAATATTTCATGCATACAACGACTTCGGGGATCGAACCCCGGCAGCCTGCGTGGAATACCAGAGTGTTAACCACTCAGCCAATCCATTCATAATATAACTGCTATATCTGATAAGACATGTTTATTGTTACACAGGTAATGTATTCTTTTTCCTGTGAAATTGGTCTGTAATACAAGCCAACCTTTTCATTTCAGACAATGTTCATAAAGTAATTCCTACATATGGATAACAATTTTAACTCATCCAACCAATTAAACCACAATCTTTTTAAAAACCTTTTAGAGCCTGAGAGTTTCTATAGAATGTGTTTTACAATTTAATGAATAATCTACTTTCAATTAGAAAAAATACCGACATTGTATTATCAAAGTTTTGCTTTATACACAAATGTACGTATTACACGTGTCGCAACGTTTCAAGAACGAATGGTCCCTTTGCCAAGCAATGACTGAGTGTGCGATTTGTATTTTTTACCTGTTCAATGATGTGACCAAATTGTATATTTTTTATGTCACCTGACCCGGGACATTTCGTCTATCGATAGAGAGCGTTTACACACTGCATCGAATAGGTTACACGTAGGGTGTAGATCTAGCCCCCTCCCCCATTATGTCAGTATCAGGTCATACAGATGACTCAGATGGTGTCTCCCCTCGTCTCTGTTCATGTGTTGATTTTTCTTGATTTTGATTACTTCTTTGATTTGTCACGCTTTTTTATGTTGTTCCCTTTCGACTATTTAGGCATTGTCCCAATCGACGATGCGATTTGGGGAATCCTTAAAGGAATTTGCTTCGAGGAGGTGTGAGCATACCTGAAGAAAGATTGTTGGGAAGGATGTTAGGACAGCCTCCAATAGTTCTAGTCCAAACGTTCGGGTCATCTCCGTCATCCCGACCAACCAGAATGGCTGATCTGCATTCACCAGCTGACACAGGTCCTAGTAACAAACATATATAATAAAAGTGTAATAACGGCCATTTTTGCAAATTTTTTTCAAATTTCAAATAAAGAACTGTTTCAACATTATTATTTCATTAAAATCATCAAGACACTTTTTGATACTTCTGCGAAAACTTCAATATTCATTTTTGCGATATTCAAAAAATACTTTTGAAATTCACTGAAGTTTTCTATCAACAAAATTAAATAACAAATCTGAAGGGCAAAAAAAGGGAGATATTCACTGTAAACTCTATATGTAACCATGTGCACAGCTCTAAATAAAAAAAAATCCACTTCCTGAATCTGATGTTTTTGTATTAATGAAAAAAAGTACATTTGTACATATTTGTATATTCCTTTATCTAGAATAGGTTAGAACTATCCCTTCCCCTAAAACCTTTTGAAATTAGATTACCTGGAATAACAGGTAGGCATCCCCAGCACAGGGCCGCAGTGACTTGGGAGCGTTCCTACTCCCTACCTTCAGCTCCTCCGTATTCAAAGGGGATCTTTGTTCTGCAATATTGAGTTCATAATTTTCTAAATTATCATACAATCAAACTTTACAGACAACTGCCCAAAAATTGTGTTGAGGAAATAATCACATTTACATACACTCAAATGGGGGAAGTTCACATCTGTCTACAGTCCAATGGAAAAAGTTTCCGTCTAGTTACATTACAATAGGAAATGTTCACATCTAGTTACAGTCCAATGGGAACTGTTTACATCTAGTTACATAACAATGGGAAATATTCACATCTAGTTACAGTCCAACGGGAAATGTTTACATCTAGTTACATAACAATGGCAAATATTCACATCTAGTTACAGTCCAACGGGAAATGTTTACGTCTAGTTACATAACAATGGGAAATATTCACATCTAGTTACAGTCCAACGGGAAATGTTTACATCTAGTTACATTACAATGGCAAATGTTCACATCTAGTTACATTACAATAGGACATGTTCACATCTAGTTACAGTCCAATGGGAAATGTTTACATCTAGTTACATAACAATGGGAAATATTCACATCTAGTTACAGTCCAACGGGAAATGTTTACATCTAGTTACATAACAATGGGAAATGTTCACATCTAGTTACAGTCCAATGGGAAATGTTCACATCTAGTTACATTACAATTGGAAAAGTTCACATCTAGTTACAGTCCAATTGGAAAAGTTCACATCTAGTTACAGTCCAATGGGAAATGTTCACATCTAGTTATATTACATGGGACATATTCACATCTAGTTACAGTCCAACGGGAAATGTTTACATCTAGTTACATTACAATGGGAAATGTTCACATCTTGTTACATTCCAATGGGAAAAGTTCACATCTAGTTACATTACATGGGACATGTTCACATCTAGTTACAGTCCAATGGGAAATGTTCACATCTAGTTACATTACAATTGGAAAAGTTCACATCTAGTTACAGTCCAATTGGAAAAGTTCACATCTAGTTACAGTCCAATGGGAAATGTTCACATCTAGTTATATTACATGGGACATATTCACATCTAGTTACAGTCCAACGGGAAATGTTTACATCTAGTTACATTACAATGGGAAATGTTCACATCTTGTTACATTCCAATGGGAAAAGTTCACATCTAGTTACATTACATGGGACATGTTCACATCTAGTTACAGTCCAATGGGAAATGTTCACATCTAGTTACATTACAATTGGAAAAGTTCACATCTAGTTACAGTCCAATTGGAAAAGTTCACATCTAGTTACAGTCCATGGGACATGTTCACATCTAGTGACAGTCGAATGGGAAATGTTCACATCTAGTTACATTACATGGGACATGTTCACATCTAGTTACAGTCCAACGGGATATGTTTACATCTAGTTACATTACAATGGGACATGTTCACATCTTGTTACATTCCAATGTGAAATGTTCACATCTAGTTACATTACAATAGGAAATGTTCACATCTAGTAACATTACAATTGGAAAAGTTCACATCTAGTTACATTACATGGGACATGTTCACATCTAGTTACAGTCCAATGGGAACTGTTCACATCTAGTTACATTACAATTGGAAAAGTTCACATCTAGCTACAGTCCAATGGGAAATGTTCACATCTAGTTACATTACATGGGGCATGTTCACATCTAGTTACAGTCCAACGGGAAATGTTTACATCTAGTTACATTACAATGGGAAATGTTCACATCTAGTTACAGTCTAACGGGAAATGTTTACATCTAGTTACATTACAATAGGAAATTTTCTCATCTAGTTACATTACAATAGGAAATGTTCACATCTAGTTACATTACAATAGGAAATGTTCACATCTAGTTACATTACAATAGGAAATGTTCACATCTAGTTACATTACAATAGGAAATGTTCACATCTAGTTACATTACAATAGGAAATGTTCACATCTAGTTACATTACAATAGGAAATGTTCACATCTAGTTACATTACAATAGGAAATGTTCACATCTAGTTACATTACAATAGGAAATGTTCACATCTAGTTACATTACAATAGGAAATGTTCACATCTAGTTACAGTCCAATGGGAAATGTTCACATCTAGTTACAGTCCAATGGGAAATGTTTACATCTAGTTATATTACAATAGGAAATGTTCACATCTAGTTACATTACAATAGGAAATGTTTACATCTAGCTACAATTAAAAGAGAAATGTTTGCCCCTATTTTATTTTATCCTTTTGATCTTTGAACAAGAATGTAAATGAACAGTTCTGGTAAGATCGATCACACAGACAAATTTTAAACAGAGAAAGTTTGTTTCCAAAGGCCAAAGGATGAAAATTCAGCAGGTTGACAGGATTCTTTGGAAAAGACGGTGAGAAAATGAAGAAAATATTTTTGGTAAACAAGTCCTGTCATAACATTTAGCAAGAGAACAGGAATCAGTAGTACACTTAGGTTATTGTACTAGAATACTTGTGACGTAATAGTTTGACCTTAGGAATGAAGGAAAGGAAAAGGGAGCGGGTTGAGAAAGGCAATGTTTATAACAGAATAGTTTTAACCTAGGAAATAATACTTTTGGGAAGTGGGGACCATGGAGAGAAATATCATATATGTTTCAGAAAAGTTATATCCTAGGACTCAATATTTTAAAGAAAATTGCATGGTATGGGACTTAGAGAGTATATACATAGAAATATTTATGTTATATTAGTTTACCCTGCGATTGGACTCTGTCCTCCACTATGACCCGCTCAAACACGTTACTGACAAGCTGTTTGATAATGGCTGCTGCTGTGTTGATGGTGGTGCTGTCCTTAGTGAAGTGTAGTCTGAAGCACAGCACCAATGCCTACAAAATAGAGTGTAATGAAGGTAAATTAACTCTTTCACCTGTATGTAACTTTCGTAGACTCTACCATGCATTGATATGGATGAGTCCATTGTAGTCTACAGTGGTGCAAGGGTTAACTCATTCACCCCTGAAATTTCATAATGAACTATTCTGACCATTGAATTGGAAGAGTTCAAGTGTGTCTTTAGGGGTGAATGAGTAAAAGTTTATTCATCAAAGAAGTCTTTGTCTTAACTAGAAAATGTCACTCCATAATCTTTATCTAGCATGTACATAGATTTTTTAAGTCACAATTAAATACGTTTTGAAATAAAACAATATTGCATTAGCTTTAAGGAGAAAGTTAATATACGAATGTTAATTTTGGTATAAAGTCAACTAGTTAACTTTTATAAAAGAAACCTTTATTTTAAAAACTGTTAATTTCTGATTTTTCTTCATGATATTTTTTTATTGCAGCTGCCTGATCTTTATCAAGGTCTCATCGTGAGCAATGTGTGTACCTTGGCACATAATCCCTTGCTGAACGATGAGCAATGTGTGTACCTCGGCACATAATCACTTACTGAACGATGAGCAATGTGTGTACCTTGGCACGTAATTACTTACTGAACGATGAGCAATGTGTGTACTTTGGCACATAATCGCTTACTGAACGATGAGCAATGTGTGTACCTTGGCACATAATCCCTTACTGAACGATGAGCAATGTGTGTACCTTGGCACGTAATTACTTACTGAACGATGAGCAATGTGTGTACTTTGGCACATAATCACTTACTGAACGATGAGCAATGTGTGTACCTTGGCACATAATCATTTACTGAACGATGAGCAATGTGTGTACCTTGGCACATAATCCCTTGCTGAACGATGAGCAATGTGTGTACCTTGGCACATAATCCCTTTCTGAACGATGAGCAATGTGTGTACCTTGGCACATAATCATTTACTGAACGATGAGCAATGTGTGTACCTTGGCACGTAATTACTTACTGAACGATGAGCAATGTGTGTACCTTGGCACGTAATTACTTACTGAACGATGAGCAATGTGTGTACTTTGGCACATAATCACTTACTGAACGATGAGCAATTTGTGTACCTTGGCACATAATCACTTACTGAACGATAATCAATGTGTGTACCTTGGCACATAATCACTTACTGAACGATGAGCAGTGTGTGTACCTTGGCACATAATCCCTTACTGAATGATAAGCAATGTGTGTACCTTGGCACATAATCCCTTATTGAACGATGAGCAATGTGTGTACCTTGGCACATAATCACATACTGAGCGATGAGCAATGTGTGTACCTTGGCACATAATCACTTACTGAACAATGAGCAATGTGTGTACCTTGGCACATAATCATTTACTGAACGATGAGCAATGTGTGTACCTTGCCACATAATCCCTTACTGAACGATGAGCAATGCGTGTACCTTGGCACATAATCCCTTATTGAACGATGAGCAATGTGTGTACCTTGGCACATAATGACTTACTGAACGATGAGCAATGTGTGTACCTTGGAACATAATCACTTAATGAACGATGAGCAATGTGTGTACCTTGGCACATAATTACTTACTGAACGATTAGCAATGTGTGTACCGTGGCACATAATCACTTACTGAACGATGAGCATTGTGTGTACCTTGGCACATAATCACTTTCTGAACGATGAGCAATGTTTGTACCTTGGTACATAATCATTTACTGAACGATGAGCAATGTGTGTACCTTGGCACATAATCACTTTCTGAACGATGAGCAATGTTTGTACCTTGGTACATAATCATTTACTGAACGATGAGCAATGTGTGTACCTTGGAACATAATCACTTACTGAATGATGAGCAATGCGGGTACTTACTTTAGCCAGCGACTCATGTTGTACTACAACGTTGGTTGTAATAAGTAGGATGGCAGTTTGGAGAAGTTTGAGCTCTTCTGTACCAGCTTCCATCAGCTGCCATAGCAGCTGTATCACATTGTTGGCTGCAGTCTACAACACATCAAGTAAACGAAAATAGAAATGATGAGCAACAACACCACTGAATCCAGTACAAAATGTAAATGAACGATGAGCAATGTGTGTACCTTGGCACGTAATCACTTACTGAATGATGAGCAATGCGTGTACTTACTTTAGCCAGCGACTCATGTTGTACTACAACGTTGGTTGTAATAAGTAGGATGGCAGTTTGGCGAAGTTTGAGCTCTTCTGTACCAGCTTCCATCAGCTGCCATAGCAGCTGTATCACATTGTTGGCTGCAGTCTACAACACATCAAGTAAACGAAAATAGAAATGATGAGCAACAACACCACTGAATCCAGTACAAAATGTAAATGAACGATGAGCAATGTGTGTACCTTGGCACATAATCATTTACTGAACGATAAGCAATGTGTGTACCTTGGCACATAATCCCTTACTGAGCGATGAGCAATGTTTGTACCTTGGCACATAATCCCTTATTGAACGATGAGCAATGTGTGTACCTTGGCACGTAATTACTTACTGAACGATGAGCAATGTGTGTACCTTGGAACATAATCATTTACTGAACGATGAGCAATGTGTGTACCTTGCCACATAATCCCTTACTGAACGATGAGCAATGCGTGTACCTTGGCACATAATCACTTACTGAATGATGAGCAATGCGTGTACCTTGGCACATAATCACTTACTGAATGATGAGCAATGCGTGTACCTTGGCACATAATCCCTTATTGAACGATGAGCAATGTGTGTACCTTGGCACGTAATTACTTACTGAACGATGAGCAATGTGTGTACCTTGGAACATAATCATTTACTGAACGATGAGCAATGTGTGTACCTTGGCACATAATGACTTACTGAACGATGAGCAATGTGTGTACCTTGCCACATAATCCCTTACTGAACGATGAGCAATGTGTGTACCTTGCCACATAATCCCTTACTGAACGATGAGCAATGTGTGTACCTTGGCACATAATGACTTACTGAACGATGAGCAATGTGTGTACCTTGGCACGTAATCACTTACTGAATGATGAGCAATGCGTGTACCTTGGCACATAATCCCTTATTGAACGATGAGCAATGTGTGTACCTTGGCACGTAATTACTTACTGATCGATGAGCAATGTGTGTACTTTGGCACATAATCACTTACTGAACGATGAGCAATGTGTGTACCTTGGCACATAATCACTTACTGAATGATGAGCAATGCGTGTACTTACTTTAGCCAGCGACTCATGTTGTACTACAAGGTTGGTTGTAATAAGTAGGATGGCAGTTTGGAGAAGTTTGAGCTCTTCTGTACCAGCTTCCATCAGCTGCCATAGCATCTGTATCACATTGTTGGCTGCAGTCTACAACACATCAAGTAAACGAAAATAGAAATGATGAGCAACAACACCACTGAATCCAGTACAAAATGTAATGTTTGATTTACTTTCTACGTGCTGACATGTTTCGGCTAAAGGGAGGCTGTCTTCAGAGCACAGCACAACAAGTAAACGTTACATGTCCCCACAAACTATTTACGGGAAATTAATTTGTAACTTTGAATCGGTTTACAAATTTGAAAAAATAATTTCTTTTTTAATAATTTGAATTTCAGTAAAAATCATGAAACATCTTACTTTTGAAATTTTGCGATTTGCTAGATGCAATTTAATTAAAAAGCTTTTTCTAGTTAATTTCACAATTCTTTTCACTTCTAAGACCTTGACCTCCTTACACAGATGGCTAGGCTTTCATTACCAGTCATCCTCGAGATTCAAGAGGTTAAATTTATACTTTGTCTACACCCCTGGAATATTTCAATAGCAAAATTGAAGGCACATGGTTAGCTATATGATTGGTTTCAGATGAAATGACCTAGCCAAATGTTAAGCTGATACCTGTACTTTGAAAATTTCAGAGGAGTGACACCAACCTTCAAAGCCGGTCAAGTTTACCATTACTCTGCCTTGTGATTCTTTCTTGAACATCAAAGGATCAAACTTGTCTACTTGTATCATGTACAAGTTGGTGCGTACAGCCACTTCAATTTTGTCGATTATGACATATTCCAGGGGTGAAGAGAACATAAGAAAGCAAAACCCCTTGAGTACTGTATCAAGGAGGATTTCCATTGTTAAGTTGTACTTACCATGGACAGGGCCTCGTGCGAGATAAGTCTCTGTACAGTCATCAGACATAGCTGGATTATTTTGGAGTTTTTGGTTTCACATCCAAGCACAAATGGGTGTACTATTTCTGCACTGGCTGGCAACAAACCTGTCAAAAAGGTACATTTTTATATTACACATTACTTGACATTGTTATATAGTGAAAGCTTTTATAGTACAGGACATTAAAAGTCTTAACATCCCATTAAAATATGACACAATCAGTATTACAGGAACCCTGTATATTAAATACAACCTAATTTTTTGTTACTTATTTTGCCACAGTAAGACAAATGTTACTTAACTTCAAGAATTAATTATTTATCTTAAAATTAAACAATTAACACTCAAAAAAATTGGTATGTATCCTACAATAGCCCCTGGTGCCAACTCAAAATCTTTCGCTCAAAGAAGTAGGGGGATGGGCTTATAACACGGCAATAAAATAGCTTTGCATGTTTGAATTTCTATTGAACTGCAAAAGATTTGGGGGTGGGCTTAATGCTAGGCATGGGCTTATTGCTGAATTACTTTACCAAACTTAAGGAATATTTACATAATTAAGTACTGGTGTTGATATCATCAATTGGTTGAAGACAATTAACAATCAGAAAAAATGGACACCCTCATACAAACAATTCCTAATAATTAGGTATAATGTCAACTCCATTTTGTAACAAGGTTTGAAATTTGATATCTTCTTGGAAATTAGAAAAAATTGAGATAAGGGGTCACTTTTAATGTAGATCATTTCAACTTGAAAGTGTATGTTAATATATACTTTTGAGTTTTGCTCAAGTAAACTACACCTCGTATGGATGATTTCTCCGCTATAAATACCAACCTGAAATGATGTCTTCACTCTTGGCACTAATTGTTCTCAGTCTTAGCTGGACTTGTTCTGAAGCCTACAATATAGGAAATCAACTTATATTATACCACACAAAAATTAAAAACAATAGATTTGGTTCAATGAACTTACATTTTTTATTTATAAATGCTTAATTATTATTAACCTTGTTAATGCATGTTGTACAGTTGCAGGTATTATTTATGCATAAAAGTAGAACCACAAAACTTTAGATGATGTTGAAGATTCCTCGGTGAATTTATAATGCTACCCTATAACTAGCTATAACTACACATTACTGGTAATTGTTGCAAAGTGACATACAACATATCAGTGGTTTACTAGTTGATATAGTTGATATAGTAGTTAACACCAATGGAAAGCGTCAGGTAGCTTCTTGCGGCACATTTTAATGTTTCTATACTAATACTAGCTATAGGTTTGCTTATCATTCTGTTGCTTTCGTACAAACATGCATGTAACAGGAGAGGAATAATGTATGGCTAGACTGGGATTCGAACCCTGGACCAAATTCTATACAGACGCTCTGACCAACTGTGCTACCTGGTCGTTGGTGATTGACCCAGTCTAGTAGTGCAGCAATTTTCGCTCCCTCCGTTTTCTAAATCTTTCAGAGATATAGCAAGAAACTCACAGAACGAGCAAGAAACTCAAAGAACGAGAAGGGTTTGTCACTGACAATGGCGGTCGTACATCAGCAACCTATCTTTGTGAATGCCATTAGACAACTGCGCCACTGGGACACCCTCCCCATATTTACAACGTACCTACCACCGCTTCTACTCTGTTACAAAATTTGTATCTACAAATCTGTCGTTTCAACAAAGAAACTTTGTCAGTGGTGCCAACAACAAACCAAGGTCATGACAAATTTCATATAATTTTAAATTCTTTAGACACCTTGTTGTGAGCTTGTATACTTCATATGTTGCTGATACTCACCTCTTTGACATTAGGATGTTTTCTCCGGCTTTCGGATGACAGCGTCCTCAGGTCGGTCTGTAGATTGTCCAGTAATTTCTTGCCCAATGAAGTATTTGGCTGACCTGGCATCATCTTGGAATCGTGTAAGTATAATGTTGTAACGAATCTAGTACATGAATCACATCACTGTTACAGCAGAATACGTTGTCGGATGTCAATCGCCAGATGAAAAAATCATCGGTGTGACAGGTAATGATGGGCGTGTGAATTCCCGAAGTTAACCAGTGTCAGCAAATGTGATTCAACCAGAGTGTGAACCGTTTCTTAAGTAAATGACAAATGTCGTGTAGAAAACAGGTCTTTTTTCATTAAGGTGAGTCACTTACGTATAAAACATGGTCAAATTATTAACGCAATCACTATCGAGTTGTCAAACAAGGGAGTTAACTCTCAATACATCAACTTCCGGTACACCATAGGCGCATTCGGTAAGACGTTTAGGAAATATTAAGAAAGCGAACTCCGCGGCTAGTTATTATACTGTTTATGATTCATTTAACACATTTCAATAAAACCTATGTACACTTGAAACATGTGGTGCTTTTATAATTCATGAGACTGTTTGGTGCGTCAGATAAACAAGAATTAGTGAAAATTCCTTGCCCAGTATATTCTTTAGTGCACGGTACAGTAAACATTTTTATCACATAGAAAAATGAATTGCATTAATGATAGTATTCAGCTTTTAGTCCAAATAATGTATTTATTGTACCAGCCAACTGTCAAAGGAGGGCCAGTGGTTACAACGAAACAATTATGACGTCGTGATAAAGATGGCGTCAACACTCGACTCATGACATTCATAGACTACACGAATTCCACCTGAATATGGAAGGGTTATTTAGTGGCAATGCCATACGATAATAAATATAGGACATTGAAGACACGTCAGGTAAAATTGACATGCTTCAAGTTGACATTACAATTTGGTGATTGACCTAACGTCATTTATGCGTTACGTCATGTATACATAGCATTGTCGTTACGTCAGGTATTCATGACATTGATGTTACGTGATCAGGTATACATGACATTCACGTCAAGTCAGATATACATAACATTGACGTTACGTGATCAGGTATACATAGCAATGGCATAACGTCAGCTACACAATTCATAACATTGACGATACGTGATCAGGTATACATAACATTGACGTTACATCATGCATGCATAGCACTGGCGTAATGTCAGGTATACATAACATTGAGGTTATGTCAGGTATACATCATATACATAACATTGACGTTACGTCAGGTGTACATAACATTGAGGTTATGTCAAGCATACATAACATTGAGGCTATGTCAGATAAACATGACATTGACGCTACACCGGGTATACATAACATTGACGTTACGTCAGATATACATCCTATACATAACATTGATGTTACGTCAGGTATACATGACATTGAGGTTATGTCAGGTATACATAAAATTGACGTTACGTCAGATATACATCATATACATAACATTGACGTTACGTCAGGAATACATAACATTGATGTTTCGTTAGGTATACATAACATTGATGTTACGTCAGATATACATCACATTGACGTTACGTCAGGTATACATAGGGATTGAAGGGCGATTTTTTTTAATTTTCTTGTTGGTTTGAACGCAAATCGGTTACATCCATATTAAACATGAAGCCCTATTTTCATACCGGCATGAACATTTAAAAAATGCCGTTCAACACATATATTAATATTTTTGCTATGGAACAATAGTTTAATTTGATTTATTTGTTATTAAATAATTAAGTAAAGTACTGCGTTTTGTATACGCGTCGTCCTTTAAACGATATTGGCGGAACAGACATATTATTTTAATAAAATTGGCGCCAATAATTAACCGCAATCATTTGAGCGTTTGACGTACGGGCATTTTCCATGTTATCCGAAGCGAACAAGGTTACTCGTGACGTCATAAGTAAACCACGTGTTACGTCACGAAAGTTTTTGCTTTCATACTCAAATGAAATGCATTTCTGCTGGTTATGTTCATATAGTGGGTTGCAGCGCAAATGAAAATATATGACATTGATGTTACGTCAGGTTACATAACATTGACGTTACGTCAGATATAAAATTCATAACATTGCCGTTACGTCAGGTACACATAACATTGATGATACTTCATGTATACAATTCATAACATTTACGGTCATGTATACATAGCATTGTCGTAACGTCAGGTATTCATGACATTGATGTTACGTCAGGGTACATAACATTGAGGTTACGTCAGATATAAAATTCATAACATTGACGTTACGTCGGGTATACAATTCATGACGTTGACGTTACGTCAGGTTTACATAACATTGATGATAAGTCATGTATACAATTCATAACATGGACGTCACGTCAGGTATAAAATTCATGAAATTGACGTTACGTCAGGTATAAAATTCATAACGTTGACGTTAGGTCAGGTATACAATTCACGACACTGATGTTACGTCATTTATACATGACATTGACGACACATCGAGCATATATATCGTGTTAGAGTGATACTATATACATAACATTGACGTTACTTCAGGTGTACATAACAATGAGGTTTATGTCAGATAAACATGACATTGACGCTACACCAGGTATACATAACATTGAGGTTACGTCAGATATAAAATTCATAACATTGCCGTTACGTCAGGTATACATTTCATGACATTGACGTTATGTCAGGTATACATAACATTGATTATACGTCATGTATACAATTCATAACATTGAAGTCACGTCAGGGATACAATTCATGACAATGATGTTACGTCATGTATACATAGCATTGTCGTAACGTCAGGTATTCATGACATTGATGTTACGTCAGATATACATCACATTGACGTTACGTCACGTATACAATTCATGACATTGACGTTGCGTCAGGTATACAATTCTTTACCTTGATGACACGTCAGGTATAAAATTTATGACATTGACGTCACGTCATGTATAAAATTCATAACATTGCCGTTACGTCAGGTACACATAACATTGATGATACTTCATGTATACAATTCATAACATTGGTCAGGTATTCATGACATTGATGTTACGTCAGATATACATCATATACATAACATTGACGTTACTTCAGGTATACATAACATTGCCGTTATGTCAGGTATACATAACATTGCCGTTATGTCAGGTATACAATTCATGACACTGATGTTAGGTATACATAACATTGACGTTACGTCAGGTATACAATTCATGACACTGATGTTACGTCATGTATACATGACATTGACGACACATCGGGCATATATAACGTGTTAGAGTGATACTGAATATGTGTTTATTGTGTTTAGTTCTGACGGTATGTCAGGTAATATGACACTGACGAAATCAGAATCAAAATTCGATTGCCGTTAATGGGAATGTAATGTGGCTATTATGTAGAAGATTCATGTTTAGGGGGGGGGGGGGGGGGGAGGGGAGGCAACATGATAAAATTAAACGATAGGGCCAACATTTACAGGGCTAACAGGGTAGCTAATATAAATATTAATGGGTATAAATGGTAGGAGACATCTAAAGTAGAGGGGATTAATTGATAGGTAGGATTCAGGAGAGGGGCGAACGGTTTCCTTCTGATGAACCTAAATCCCTTGATGTAGCTCTACACCCTCTTCTCAAGGAGAACTAGTCAATAGCACCACGGAATTAGATTATCTAAGACTATCTAATTAAGTCCGTGTTAGCATGATGCCATCAGCACAATTAAGATCTGTAGCGGAACTGCACTGGGTCAATCGTCATTAGAGGGGACCCTCTAAGATCTATCACCAGTAAAAAAAATTGTCCAAATACAAAAACAAAATGGTCTATAAACACATCTTTGAATTCCGTTTACAAACAGGAACTAGCAACGCGTGTCAATACACCTAGCGTATAAAAGATTATAGTATATGTGCGTTTGCAAGCGATCATTAACCGGTCACGTCATGCACGGGTTTAGCCCAAGTTTCCTCTGGACCTAACACCAGATAGATGTCCCACACCAGACATCTATCTGTCAAAATGTCTAAGTCTGGTTTTAGGGCAAGAGGAAATTCGGGTTATGATGAATATATCAACATAAATGATTGACAATTAATTACACAATTAATATAATAATGCGCATATTATTAATTTGTTTAATGTACACGTGTAGTTATTTACTAACACTTAAATTGCATAAATATTAATTAAAATTAAATAAATATGTTAATAAAACTGCATTTTATCAACCAATGCGGCGATGCAATAAAATAAAAATAATGATAACTAGATTTGATGCAGATCAAAACACGGGATTTCCAACAAGACAATGATCAAAGATATGTTCTCGAACTGACGATCGCTTTTAAACGTTTCCCTTCGCTTTCCTTTGCTTTGCTTCCCTTCTCTGACAAACCTATTTGGTAGGTTTCACTTGTTTATTGGCCTGCATCACTTACTGGTCACCGAAAACAAACATTTAAACATACAGTGAGTAAATTGTTCCTGGACACATTGAAGCTGACTATTATGCCTAGTAAGTTTGGAAGATGTACCTTGTTTGTGGATAAGGGCAATAAGACCACAGTAAGGAGACAGACTTTACGTAGTTGGAATGTTCTGTACGGGTTATTGCCCTTCGAACGTGTGCTAGTCTACAGTAGCTGACTGAGTAGTGTAGTGTGGGATTCCCAGAGTGCGAAATGACGTGAGAGAAAGACTGGATAAATAACGGGTGTGTTGTATAGAAATGTAGTTCGTAAATCAAGTCATATAATCCGTCCACTATGTACGCCAGGACGATTAATTGAAACTATGTTTGTTTCTATATCGGTTGGGTTTGCCACGCCAAAGAAAGGCTGATGTTTACCCAGCGCAGGAGAGGTGTAAACTGTCCACATTTTTAAGATTGATATAAAATCAAAGTACTGAGAACACTGAAAGCACTTGACAATCGCACAAAAATGACAAATGGAAATCCCTAATAACAAAGTGGTATATCTTCGACATTTTTGATGCTATGACCTTGAAACTTTGGAAATACCTTGAATAGACCTTGCTCTTTAATATTTGAAAACAAAATGAAATGATTTTATGATTCTTATTTTTGACCTATATTTGACCCCATAACGAGGCTTTGAACTTGAAATTCTCTGATAACATCTCATGGAAAAAAGTTAGCCCCGACTAAGTTCTACAAGAAGTATGAAGCGTTCATGCAGTACAACGAAAGCTTTCGAAGTTATCGTCGTTCGAAAAACATTTTTAAAAAACTCTATTTTTAGATCTGTAACCTTGACCTTTGACATTATGATCATGAATTTGTTCGCATACCATGCGTTGCTTGTCCTCTGATACGTACTGAAATATGAACGTTGTATCTATATTCGTACTTGAGATAGAGTGTCTACAAGATCATTTGACCCCTGTGGCCTTGAATGTAGGTCATGGTCAATGATATGTGTTATTTTTGTAGGCAAAGCTACATACTATGGATGTACCAAATATCAACTCTGTATGTGTCTTAATGAAGGAGAATAAGCGTTTTGAGGAAAATGCTGGAAATTTTGAATTTTGGCGGGAAAACGAATTTTTTCAAAGTGGCATATCTTGGTCATTTTTGAAGCTATGATCATGAAACTTTTCACATACCTTCATTAGAACATGCCCTTTAAGATGAAATAAAATATAACTCATTTTGAGATTTTCATTTTTGACCTATATTTGACCCCATAGCGAGGCTTTTAACTTGACATATTCTCTGAAAACATGTCATGGGGAAAAGTTAGCCCCGACCAAGATCTACAAGATCCACATAACGTTCATGATGCACAACGAACGCTTAGGAAGTTATGGTCGTTCTAAAACTGTTTAAAAAAAAACGATTTTTAGATCTGTGACCTTGACCTTTGATATAACGATCATGAATTTGTTCGCATACCATGTGTTGCTTGTCCTCTGATACGTACTGAAATATGAACGTTGTATCTTTATTCGTACTTGAGATAAAAGTCCACAAGATCATTTGACCCCTGTGGCCTTGAATGTAGGTCAAGGTCAATGATATGTGTTATTTTTGTAGGCAAGGCTACATACTATGGATGTACCAAATATCAACTCTGTTTGTGTCTTAATGAAGGAGAAGAAGCGTTTTGAGGAAAATGCTGGAAATTTTGAATATTGGCGGGAAAACGAATTTTTCAAAGTGGCATATCTTCGTCATTTTTGAAGCTACGACTTTGAAATTTTTCACGGATGCCTCTATTATAACATGCCCTTTAAGATGAAATAAAAATATAACTCATTTTGAGATTTTCATTTTTGACCTATATTTGACCCCATAGCGAGGCTTTTAACTTGACATATTCTCTGAAAACATGTCATGGGGAAAAGTTAGCCCCGACCAAGATCTACAAGATCCACATAACGTTCATGCAGAACAACGAACGCTCAGGAAGTTATGGTCGTTCTAAAAATGTTTTAAAAAATCGAATTTTAGATCTGTGACCTTGACCTTTGATATTACGATCATGATTTTAGTTCGGGTGCCTGGAGTTCGTTGTCCTCTATCATGTACTGAAATATGGACGTACCATCTTTGTTCGTTCTTGAGATAAAGTGTTAACAAGATTTCTGGAAATAAGAATAATAATAATAATAAGAAAAAACATAACAATAACAATAGGTATTTCCATCCGAAATGGAAATCCCTAATAATACAATATATACTATACACATGATGTATGTTATCTCTGCCAAGGTACATATGAAACACTAATTCCTGTAGGAACTCTATCTAAATCTATCGTTATAAATCTCTGTTTAGATAAAGTTCCTACAGGAATTAATAAAACACCGTCACAATATATGTTAAAGCATCAGGGGAAATGTTTTCTTTAGTAATATAATGTGTTATCAATGTATACAGTACCGTCGCCTGATACGTAGACATATACGCCTGTGACCTCACATTGTTATTGTTCGTACAAAGAATGCGGTTGGGTTATTCAGGTTAGTGATAATGTAACCGTCTATAAATAGATGCTAAATTATTGCACCACTCGCCGTAAACACGCGACATGGTTACCTATATATATAGCACATAGGGCTTGAGTTAGGACCATTGGACCTTCCCTGTCTACAGGTACGCTCGGACAGACAATCATCATGGTGTTCAAAATTGATAAACGTCGAGTATACTCGGGGAACACTCTCAGAGCGTCCAATTCAAGGTAAGCCGTTTTTTTAGCTTTTTCCGACAGTAATTTGTATTATATAGCGTATATATATTGAGGCCCATACAAATAGTGGATTTTACCCTTTACTAGCAATTGTTGTATCCGAATTAATGATATAACAATCTTTGAAATAATAAGATAGTGAATGTGGTCATTTGAATCATGTTACCCGCGGAATTAAATTCAAGTGTCATGTATATCGTATATATATATATATGGGGCAAAAAAGTAATTCCAACAGTGTGGACAAGTTTAGGTTGTCACTGTATATATGCAATACCCTTTTTTGTGTAATGTCCTATCACGGACTTAGATAATTCCGTGGTCCTATCGATAACTTTCAGGGGCGTAGCTAGCCCTTGTTTGGAGTGGATATTGGAGCGGGTCCAGGGCAGGGTTTTGTCTGAAAGGTGGATTCTCCTACGTTATATATAGCGTATATATTGAGGCCCATGGTGTAATCTTGAAACGGAGCGAACAGGTACAGTGTAACAAAAATAGTTTAATTATGGTAAAAAAAACGTCGTATCTTATCTTAAAATCATAGCAAGTAAATCGAGAGACGTAGAAGGGGCAAGTAATGTCTAGTTAAAAATGTAATGCATATATAGCGAAATTAAATTGCTCTGTCAACATTTTCATATGTGTTTATAATTATACAATACATTGAATAGTATGATAGTTAATTACTGTCCTCAACACCTGACCGCAGGAAATATTTACATGAAACGTCAGTAGTATAGATTCTGTATAACAACGATCAGAATACAGTAAGCGGGTATTACTCGAAATCATCTGCAGTATTATTGTTCTTGAGTACATAATTTGATCGACAAACTTTTCCAAAAATGCTTGTACGATTTTTGATATTTCACTGCTTAAGTGTATACTTTTGAGATTATAGGCTCTCGATCTAACATAATTTCTATTTAAAGTGCATGTATTTGGAAGAAGATAAAAACCTTCACACATTGCTACATCTTAATATGATTTAATGTGGGGTTTTTTTCAAAATTGATTCATTTACATTTAAATTGATTATTACTTTCCAACACAACCGCTAATCTATTAACCGGACTTGACGCTATATTTTCCCCGTGTATGTTGGCACGTCCTGGAATTGACAATTCTCAATTATAACACAATGACAATTAAAACGTGTTTTAAAAGAGATTTTATCATAAGTTTAATGTATAAGGTTACCATATGTGTCCGCCTACTTCATCAAAATTAAAATTAGGTTTATAGTTCATCAACTATATTTCAAGAGCGCACGAGAACCACACGGCAAGGTAATCACATGCTTTCTATAGTCAAAATTCTTCTCCTTATGACCAATTTAATTAAGGTTACAAAGTTTTAAATTCATGTATTTTTTAAGAAATAAGAATAACACTGTTTTTTTTCTGTCATTGTAGGTACAATCGTCAATACAGACGACAGTCATGCTTGGTACGACGATCACAGAACGTTACCAACGTAACCGGTATATTTAAAGAGCTTGGGTTGGACAGAGATGACGTCGTGTATTCTTTCAATAAAAAGGGGAGGTGGCTGATACCACAGATACTTAAGCAGGAAATCCTCACCGACAGCAAAGACCTCGGCGATGTCAAGGTGGATTTAGTCGAGTCCCATAAGTTGAAGAAGCAAGGGAAATGCACCGGATTCCATTCTAACAAGGGATTTTTACAAAAAGTGGTACCAAAGAAAACGTACTTCAATGTGGCAAGTTTGCAAGGTCCAAAAAAGGAAGAAGTTACTCCTAGCGCTACACCTCACATGACGATCAATATTATGTACCCCTGCCCTGCCACGAGTTCCATTGCCCACAATCCTAAGTACATCCGGTATGAAGACTTGCCTACCGATGGGCTAGATGAAGATGATATTGACAGAACTCAACATAGCAGTCCGATCAAGAGCAAAGCGAGGAAACAGAGGAGGAAAATTGGAACAAAACAATGGGTCGACAACTATTTGGACGAAGTAGAGCACTATGATGACGAGGATTATGAAATCGATTCTACTGAAAATGTCCGTGAGCCATCCAAGTCTGTATCCGTCGAAGATATCCTGGTTCATTCAAGACGAATTGAAAGTATTCTGTCTGGAGGAGCGAAGGTATCGAAGTATCCAGCAACTAGACGAGAAACAAAAGACAGGGTTATTTACATAAACAGGCAAGACGAGGAAGAAAAAGCGGAGGAAAAAGAAGAGATGAAGAGCATGGCCATTAAAGAAACAACTTCTCCTATGGAGTATGTCGGTGTCAATATCCCTACCAATGAAGTCTCGATAGAAACGCTGAAACACAGATTTGGTGAGAGCTACATTGAATGCCGCTGTTCTCCAAGAAAATTCATCATCGACATCACCAAAGAAGTTCAGAAAACGCTACTGAAGTCCAAAGCTTTCCGCCATACCGATATTATGACTACTGATCTCTCCACAGTATTGGTTTTTGTCTATGACGTCTTTGGTAGTTTGGACAACAACGATGCAGATAGGTTCAAAATCCTACTCAACATGAAGACAAAGAAAATAGTCCCCAGAATCAACACTTTTCAAGAAGACAGTGTGTTTGGCGTAGAGGACATCGTCAGTAAAGCGGTATCGTACATAGAAACAATTCCATGTGACGAATTTATACACAGAGATTCAATTCTTCCGTATACTAGACAGGCTTCTACAAAGTTTGAGATGTTAGCAGAAAGTAGAGGGACAAAGCCCGTGTCAATTGACCCAGTTCACCTTCGTGTCACGGTGAAAGACCTTCTTCAGAGAAAAGAAGAAGACATTGACGAGGCAGAGTCACTAATAGCGATGGACTTCGAATCACTTCCTCCGGATACCTGTTCCATTTGCTGTGAAGCCATTGAGAGTTCGGCCACCGCCCTACAGACCTGTGGTCACTGGTTTTGTGATAGATGCTGGGGTGACCATCTGCTCTCGGTAGCCAATAGTGGATCAGGACGAATTACGTGTCCGGAATACAAATGTCGGTCTACTATTGATTATGCTATTTTGCTCACAACTTCAAACATAGAAGTCGTAGAAAACGTTTTTCGACGAAGACTGATGATGAAAGTCGATATTGACCCAGACTCAAAATGGTGCCCTAACAAACACTGTGGACGTGCAATCAAATGTGAGAAGAACGCTATGGGACAACGGGCGAATATCACCTGTTCGTGTGGAACACATATTTGTTTTGAATGTTTGAAACCGGCACACTGGCCCCTTTCGTGCGATCACTTTGGGTCTTATTCGCATACACTACAGAAGAATGGAGACGAAAGTGCGCCGGATGTGAACTACATTCGGTTTGCACAGGGAAAGGAGTGTCCAAAATGCAAGCAATTCATGGAAAAGAATGGCGGCTGTTTCTACATGACTTGCAGATGTGGATGCAGTTTCTGTTGGGGTTGTGGCAAATCCTTCGAAAACCACGTAAACAGCAAAGAATGCCGACCACGTAGATATAGGCCACGGGATAACGGAGACCTTTTCAACACCAAAAAGAGGGCACTAATCGTTCCAAGTATCAACGACAAGACTAAAGGGTACAAAAGGGCCGTGGAGTATCGATGTCTACGCCAAGCAGAAAATGTCAGGATTATGACTTCCGCTGTACACAAAATGTCAACGTCACTGAAAATGCTCAATCGACGTTATGGTGACCGTGTCGGTGGGGAATTAGTGGACTTCTTGGTGCCAAATTTTGCAGATGAGATGACAGTGGCAGACAAGATCAAACCGTTTCTACACAGCATGGTAGGTGTGTACACGGAAATAAGCCACATATGTGAGCTGACCACAGTATTCTTAGAGAAGTCGGACAATGTCGCCAATCTGAAAAGATCGTCTAGACAGGCTGTGATAATGACTAGAGATCGCTTGGCATCGATCGGGGACGGAATACTACACGTGTTCCGGTCTTCTAGCAAGGAGAACATGAAAGTCAATATTTCACATCTTTGGAAACTTCGATTCCAATGTAAAAAGGCAATGGACACTTTGGTTAAACTACTTAAGTGTTAATCACTAGCAATGTTGTCTGTGGAGCAGCACGAACACTCAGAAGACGCTTACCCTTCCGAAACACCTGGTCTTTTTCGCTTTGTATGTTTTTAAAGTGCCTCCACATATATCTCACTTTGTTCATATTTTGCTCCAGTTGTATCGATTTTGAGTTTAAATAATGGTTTGGTAGACACTTCGGTATCTTTTTACTCTTACATAAGTTATACGAAATGTACATCCTGGACTCTTTTTTATGAAAACGATGTATTCAAGATAATTATTTTGTGTTCATATATTCTTATATTGATATTTAGAGTAAACATCTGCGATGTATTTTTTAAATATCAAAATATATTGATTAAACGTGGGGTTAAGGAGTTAAAAGAACAATTGTTTTTTTTAATTTATTGGTTGTTTTAAAGCTTGCATCATGATAAATACCTCGATATATTTATGTAAGAATAAGCAAAAATGGAATTCACGTTTAGAAAACTGGATACAAATTATTTTGAATAAGTGAAAGTCGACAGTTAATCCCTCAGTATAAAAAAAACATGTATTTTAGTCCATCACTTAATAAATTATCCAGAATTTTGAAGGATTTTGTATTGTATTTTTTAAAAAGAGTTTACTACATAATTATCATTTATGTTGATATATTCATTACTTTGTTATTCAACATGACCCTGGATGACGATAAGGTTCACGACTAGGATTTGAAACACTTTTATGAAGTTGTGAATATTAACTTCGCTGCTTCAATATCCTCCATATTTAACAGTTTCTAATACTTTTTTTTTAAATACACGGAAAATTAATAATATTTCATGAAAATTAAAAATGTAAATATAATATGAAAAGAAAGTTTTCAAAATTGAAATTGCGAGCACGTATATTTCGGTGCCTTAAGTATGGACCAACAGATCATTCAAGGTCAATTTTGAAACCGATGTGATATCATGCACTATTATATCTAGTAAATGACAAACATCTTTATAAAATCGTCCCATATCGTAACTGTGGACCTTTAAACGATTGTTAAGCGTTACATTTGCCACATCAAAACAAAAGGCAAATCCTATAGTAAGCGGTGCGACACTACAAGATATAGAAGACCCTTCTATCTTTTATTATTAAGTTAAAAAAATTGCCTAGCGTGTAAAAGGTTAATGAAGCTTAAATTAAAACAAATATATACAAATTTTGTAAACTTTAAATTACTTTTCTAAGAGCGTGCAAGTGGTTTATGATGTGCCTCCAGACTATGTGCCCAGCTTATTTAACTCATTCCCCCTGACATTTCATAATAAACTAGTCCAACCATTGAATTGGAAGAGTTCAAACGTGTCTTCAGTTAATAGACGTTTGCAGCATTACTGTAATCAGTGTCTCTGGTATGAAGATGTAGACCATGATGAATGTGCGTTTATACATTTTTTTCTTCAATTTTTCTACCAATTAAAAAAGAGAAGCCATATCCATTGATAATATAAGCACACGATTTTATCATGAACAATGTTCTGCCCTTTCACTTCTCTTACAAATACACATGAATAGACCAGACCTACAGATTTTACATCTCTTTCAATGAATCAATAAGTTCAGAAAACATTACTGAAATATTCTCAAGTTATTAAATAAATATTTCCAAAGTTCCAAAGTTCAGAAAACACAACTTCTATGAATTCTTAAGTTACTGAAAACACTATATAAAAGACTTCTTTAATTCATAGTTTTTGATGTTATGTACATGTATAAAATTGATAAAATATTAATATTTTAGTGATGGAATTTTGGAATTATGATTTCTTACATCTATATATCCGAATGAAAGTTAAATTAGAAACCTTTTAATTTTTATTATATTATGTTAGAACAATTTTGATAATTTTGATTTTTAATTTTAGCAAAAAATGTTTGATTTTTTCAAACAGTCATTAAGGGGTTTCTACACCCTTAAATTATATTTTGAAGTGGTAACAAAATAGTTCAGAAATCCCGATACGTTCTTTATTCTTTTACCTACATCTACGTATATATCACAATTAAGCAAGCATAGCCAATACTCAAAATTCTAAATTTAACTAACATTCTATCCAATAAAACATTTGTGATACCATAAACTTTATTGAAGAGTATTGTAATACATTTACTAATGTTCCAGGCATTTAAAAATGCATAAGAACGTCATCATTTATATACAAAGGAATATTTATCAATTATAATCAATATGGTAATGCTGAATTGTAATTAATGGCAGAGGCGGATGCAGGGGTGTTGCTCTTCGGTGTAGCAACACACACGCCTGATATCAGTATAACGATAACAGTTTATTATTAATTATTATACCCCTACTTATTTAACACTATACAAATGTAAGCACATAAACAAGCTATTTCCCCTCTAACTGCATGCCAGGGAAATAGTTCGTCTGGAGGGGTGGGATAGTTTTGAAACTATTTCCCTCGGAAAATGCGGGAAATTGAGTGACGTCATGGGCGGCGGCTGACCTAATATTGATCAATCAGCGCAGTCGAATAACGTAGGTATGCATAACCTTGAGGTTACGTCAGGTAAACAATACATTGACGTTAGATGATCAGGTATATATAACATTGAGGTAACGTCAGGTATACATTACATTGACTTTATATGATCAAGTATACATAACATTGACGTTACCTCAGGTGTACATGACATTGAGGTTACGTCAGGTATACATAACATTGACGTTACGTGATTAGGTATACATTACATTGACATCATGCATACACTATGTACATAGCACTGGCGGTATGTCAGGTATATGAGACATTGACGTTACGTTAGGTATTCATAATATTGACGCTATGTCATGTTTACATGACATTGACGTTACGTCAGGTAAACATAACATTGACGTTACGTGATCAGGTATACAATACATTGACGTTACATCATGCATACAAAATGTACATAGCACTGGCGGTATGTCAGGTATTAATGACATTTATTACACACTTACCAATAAATACGGGTTTTTTGTATATGCGATACGACACAATTGCTCTAACCCATATCAGCCCTCGCCATATCACACCCCAAAACCCGTATCAGCCCCCGCCGTATCACACCCCAAAACCCGTAGCAGCCCGCAAAACCCATATCACACCCCTTTTGGAAAAAAATCGTTTTTCAATATGTAAAAAAATCCAAAAAATCATAAGATAGTAGTTTTTATTAGTAAGTATGTAATAAACAGAATAAAACACGCCTTTTTACATATCACACCCAGTATCGACCCTCGACCAATATCAGCCCTCGGGGCTTCGGCCCTTGAGCTGATATTGCAGTCTCGGGTTGATACTGGGTGTGATATGGAAAAGGGCATGTATTATTCTCTATTGACGTTACGTTAGGTATTCATAACATTGACGCTATGTCATGTTTACATGACATTGACGTTACGTCAGCTATACATGCCATTGACTTTACGTCAGGAAGACATAACATTGACGTTACGTCAGATAGACATAACATTGACGTTACGTCAGGTATACATGACATTGACATTACGTCAGATATACATAACATTGATGTTACGTCAGATATACATATCATTGACGTTACGTCATTTGTACATTACATTGACTTTACGTGATCAGGTATGTATTACATTGACGTTACATCATGTATACATAACATTGATGTTATGTCAGGTATAAATAGCATTGACGTTACATCATGTATATATAGCATAAATGTTATGTCAGGTATACATAGCACTGGCGTTATGTCAGGTATAAATAGCATTGACGTTACGTTAACAGGTATACATAGCATTGACGTTACATCACGTATACATAACATTGATGTTATGTCAGGTATACATAGCACTGGCGTTATTTCAGGTATAAATAGCATTGACGTTACGTTAACAGGTATACATAGCATTGACGTTACATCATGTATACATAACATTGATGTTATGTCAGGTATACATAGCACTGGCGTTATTTCAGGTATAAATAGCATTGACGTTACGTTAACAGGTATACATA